TCTCCTTGTTCTCTCCATGGGAGAGGGTAGAAATGGCTGAAACAAAATCTCTGTCCAACCCAAAAGACCTCCCACAAAGGGAGAGGAAAAAGAAAACAGCTTTATTATTAAATCAAATTAAGTCAATGCAATGTGCATCCTGAGCAATCCACTAAGAGACTTCAAAGATAGAAAGAAGACTCATCCTTTAACGTAGCCAAGGTTCTCAGGTAGGGGGACCTGCTGGCACCATTTGTTGCACAGAGTTTATTGCAGATCCAACTGGCCAGATTCAACTGCTAATTGACTTTTCCTTGGTTTTTGCAGTGCTGGGGATGGAACCCAGGGTCTTGTGCATGCTAGGCAAGTGCTCTACCATGGAGCAGCACCCCCACCCCCTGCTAGTTTGCCTTCATCCAAAATAAAAAGAAACTTCTCATCTCTTTATGACAAGAGGTAGCTCTACAACTTGGAGCCATAATTAGGCTCCTTCCCTGCTCCCTAAAACTAGGAGATGGATATATCCTTCAATGATTGCATTCAAAGGGAGACTCCCCAGGTCCCTGGGTGGAAGCTGGCAAGGACTTACTGAATTTTTAAAAAGCTGTACATACATTTCAAAGAGACAGAGAAAGTGCTTCCAGTATAAGGTCTCTAAAGTAAGTGCTCTAAGAAAAGGGAGTGGGGTGGGGATTGGAGGGTACCTTCCATTATCTAAGCTTTTTATTTTTATTTGTTGGTACTGTAGATTGAACCCAAGAGTATTTTACTATTGAGCTACATCCCCAGCCCTTTTTATTCTTTATTTTGAGACAGGGCTTCACTAGGTTGCTGAGACTGGCCTTGAACTTGCAATCCTTCTGCCTCAGCCTCCCAAGTCCCTGGGATTACAGGCATGTGCTAACATGCCTGGTGCCTCTTATATATGTGTATTTGTCCTTATAGAATTCAGCTAGGCCCTCATGTAATGCCTGCCAGGGAGGGAATGGGCATGTTAGGCCCTAAGGACAGTCCTTGGCCAGTGACACAAGAAAATCCAAGGAGTAGAGTTAAACTGGATTTGATCGTGCCATCTTGGGAGGCAGGAAGGGTGGATGGAGTGCAGCACTTGGGTAGTTTCTAGATTTGGCTAGGACGTTAGCAATGACAGGTGGTCCCTGCAACCCCAGAGCCCCTGACCCTTCAGCCTTCCTCCCTTCTAGATCCCATCTAGTCCCCTGTGTCACACCTCCCTCCCTGCCACACCCTGGTATCTTCTCTCAGTTCTCTGTGGGGGAGGAGGGCTATTCAAGATGCTGGCCTGGTATGGCCTGTGGCCTCGGGGCTGTGGCTTTTCTCCTCCCTCCCCTCCCCAGTACAGCTCACGGCTTCTGCTCTACTCCAATTAGACTCTAACCCACTGGCAGCTGTAGCCAATTCTGCAGAAAGTTCAAATCTTTAGGGACTTCATAAATTAGCCTTTACTGCTAAGTATTCTTCAGAAAAGAAAAGAACTGGAGAGCTGGGGCAGGGGAAGGGGGGTACAAAGCGCAGCTCAATTGCTGCTTCTTCTATCCAAGCTGAGCGTTCCTGTGAAAAAGAATCAGGGCAGAACCATCTGGAGAGGGGCGTCGGGAGTGCTGGGGTCGGCACAGGGAGAGCCGACTGGCCCAGAGGGTATTGGGTGACTCTGGGCAAGTCGGGGCACAGTCCTGAGGTATAGGCGCTATGATGGCTAATTCTGTGTTGGCAAATTCTGAGCCACATCTTGAATTTTAGTGTATGTTTGTGAGCACGTGGCATGAGTGCTCTTTCCTATTTCTGTAGAAAATTCAGCCTGGAATCCCACATTTCTGCACACAAGTATGTCTCAGCATTCTGTTGTGTACCTACATCTGTTGTGTTTCGTGGAGAGAGGAGGCGTTTCCAAGGGATTCTGCCTGGCATGCGGGGGCCAGAGGCAAGGCCGGCAGTTTCTTGGTCCTAGGCAGTGTCAGCAGGGAGGGAGGGTCACTGAAGCTGGGGTGATGGATTGACAGGGCAGGTTCCACCTGCTTCCTTCCGCACAACTATTCTCTCTGGCCTTGACTGTGCCCTTGCCCACTACTCTTTCTCCACCCCAGAATTTGGTGACCGCAGCTCCCTCCAAGTGTGCAAAACTTGCTCACTCCTCTCGCCGTTGCACCTGCAGGTCTCTCTGCTCTTTCTTTATCTGGCTAAATGCAGCTCATCCTTCAGAGATATCACCTCTTTCAGGAAGCCCTCCTCAATCCTCTGGGGCTCCCCCCTCTTCTGGATGAGCCTCTATGGTAGCATTTGCCACACCCTATTCGAATCCTTCATTTATTTGTCTGTCTCGCCCACTAGACCAAGAACTCCCTGAGAACAGATTGCATCTTATCTCCTGGCTTTCCACCCCCTAGCACAGTTCTTGGCAGAAAGTGTGCTTGTGAAATGAATGAATGTTGGGTAACAGCACCCCATATTTGCATAGCACTTTTCCATTCACCAAGCACTTTCACATATATTGTTCTCTGTTCATCTTCGCAGCAACACAGCCCAGCAGGAGAGGCAGGTGTGGTTTTTCCCCATTTTCTTGGTGAGGATCCAGGAGGTTGGACTGGGGAAGAGTCTCCAGATTCCTGTCCCCCGGTGCCACGCCCTCTCTGGGCAGCACTCCAGTCAGGAACAGTCTCCACCTTGAGGGAGGACTGAGCTCGCTCACCCAGGGCAAACTGGCTCAAGGGAGCTTTGCCCTAAAGCCCCAAATCCCAAACACTGATTGCTAGACATTGCTGGCACACACACACACACACACACACACACAGGCAAGTTGCTGTGTGTGTTTGTGTGCCAGTGGAGATAGTGTTGCAGAAAGTGAATCGAGTGGGGCAGCACGTGGACCTGGGCCTCTACTCCCTTTGAAATGCCCCCAACCTCCCTCTACTCTCAGGCTCAGGGATCCACTCTATATTTCCCTAGATTCTCTGGAGAAACAGAAACAGTTGTGTGTGTGTGTGTGTGTGTGTGTGTGTAAAGACATTTATTATAAGGAATTGGCTTGGGTGATTATGCAAACTGACAAGTTCAAAATCAGCAGGGCAGGCTGCCGTAACCTGGAGACCCAGAAGGGCATATGTGTCAGATGCAGTCTGAAGGCAGTGTGCTGGAGCGTTCTTTCTTACTTGGAGAAGACCAGATTTTTTGTTCTATTCAGGCCTTCAATTAATTGGATGAGGCCCACCCACATTATGAAGGGTACTCTCCTTACTCGAAGCCCACCAACTTACATGTGAATCTCATTCAAAACCCCCTCATAGAAACATCTAGAATAATGATTGGCCAATTATCTTGGCACTGTGGCCTAGTCAATTTGGCATATAAAATTAATCATCACTGTAAGGGATCCTTGGGATCCTGTCCAGGACACTCAGGGAAGGGAAGGCAAGTTGCTGATTCCCCAAAATCTACTTCGGCTGTCCCTGTTCCATTTACAGTGAAACAGGAGTAAATGCATAGATGGATGGGAGGATGGATGGGCAGATGGATGGATGGATGGATGGATGGATAGGAGGATAAGAGAATGTATAGAAGGAAGTAAGGGAAGGTAGGAAGAAGAGAGGAGATGAATGCATGTATGCATCGGTGAGTAGGTAGATGGATGGATAGAAAGATAAATAGATAATTAGTAATGGTGACTAGTAACTTTTCAGTTAGTATTAGACTGAAAATTTCAAAAACACAAAACTGGCTGGGCAGGGTGGCTCATGCTTGTAATCTCAGCAGCTCTGTGGGCTGTGGCAGGAACATCGCAAGTTTAAAGGCAGCCTCAGCAAAGGCGAGGCGCTAAGCAGCTCAGTGAGACCCTGTCTCTAAATAAAATACAAAATAGGGCTGGAGATGTGACTCAGTGGTCAAGTACCCCTGAGTTCAATCCTGAGGACCCCCACAAAAAACCCCCACAAAAACCCCAAATACAAAACTGGAGAATGCAGACCAGAATGATTAATTTATCCACCTCTAAATTTCACATAAGGGAAATGGTACCCAGAGGAGTACTCCCTTCAGGCCACATATGAGTAGAGGTTCTTCTCCCTTCTGGTGTGGCGGCTGCACTGACACAGGAGTGAGGGGTGTATGTGCTGGATCAGGCTGAACTGAAGGATCAGAGAGAGGCTCCACACCTCCTGGGCTTGCCGTGTGCTCACACGTGTGCTGGTAAGTCTGGTGGAAGAGATCTACTTCATACTTTGCCTTGACATCTCAACATGTGGCCTCTGTGGCCCCTGAGGCAGGAGAAGAGAGAGAGTTGGCATGTGGAGTGGCAGCTCTTACATGCCCAGAAGCAACATCTGTCACCTTTCCTACCAGCTACCAACTAATAGAAGAGTGCTGGAAATGCAGGTGAGCACATGGATTTTTTGGGAGAAACAAGGGTTTCTGACATAGAGTAGTTTGTCATCTCTTTGTTGGGGTTCCTTTCCTACAGCTTTGAACCAAAGAAATTGCCCCAGGATATCTCAGAACCCAAGGATCACCCTTGTGCTCTTTGAACCTCCCAGGAATCTGAGTTTACACTGCCCTGAAGGCTTTCACCCATCACATTGCAGAACTGAACTCAACTGTGCTTTCTGTGTGTATGAAGGGTGTAGGGGAGACATTCCTCTCATCCTTCCCACCTAAACAAGTGGAAGCTGAGCCGCTTACAGCCATTTTTACCTAAAGTACAGAGAAGTGCCAAGTTTGGTCCCTCTCTCATTGTTATTTATTCATTTTCGGGACATTGTCTGTATTTTCCGGCTTTTAAAACTTATTTCTCCCAGGATATGGTTTGTTCACAAATATTGATCAAGCATTATGATGGTTACAAGAACTTGATATGTTCACATTGCAAATGTGCTACAAACACATTTCCTTTGAAGCTTCTTGCCCATAGTTGAAATGAACTTCCACCGAGGAGCCAGCCACATTTGAATTGCTTGTGTCACCAAAGGCAATAGTAATTACAACATTCATTTCTCGTGGCATTGGTATCCTTTAAGTAAATTTAAATAGAGCTTTTTATTAAAATAACTAAGAACAAATAATTTATTATTTTAATAAAATACCAACAAATATCAATTCAAAATAGGCTATATAGTTGGAGTTAGATTCAAAGAAATACAAACACAGGCATAAATTGATGTCTTTAATTGCTAGGGCTGTTGACCTTTATTTAGTTTAATCCTGGTTCTTCTTTAGACTTGGATAGAGTTAATTCTGACTCTTTGAACTTTCTTAGGTATATGTCAAATATGGTCAGATTGGCCACAGCTTCTCTCCAGCCTTGATTTCCTGTATCTAATTAAGGACCCTTTTTTGACCCTTTACAATTTTTCTGGAGAAGGCTTTGGTTTCTTTGTTTCAGTCCTATTTCCTTGAAGTCTGCAGAGAAAAGGAGAATGAGTTATAGTAAGATGTGATGTTTCCAGAAAATTTCAAACTCATGAGTTTTTCTGAATCGGCAGTAGGATTTTTTCCTTACTTGAATTCTTCTCTCAGCCTCTGCTCTTTACTGAGTTTGTTATCACTAACCTCCATAGACAGGTCCCTTAGAAACCAGGGCTTTGATGAGGTTAGATGGATCTGACCCTTTGTGTCACCTGACTTTGCAAAGTCTGCTTTTGGATAGGTACAAAACAGGTCATTCCAGAACATGACTCTTAAATTATCTTTGAACAGAAGGCAACATGGAGAGACAAAGTGACTTCTACCTAAGCCTCCCTGTGTGCTCAGCAAGATCCCAGGGGATGTGAAAATAAAAAAGTGCTGAAGGAGTTTTCACCTGATTTAGGTGGTGGTGCCTGGGGAGTCAGGTACAAAGCCCAAATGCCAAAGCTGGCTTCACTGGGCCAAATTCCAGCATCACATGGTTCCTCAGTTCTGGGTTAGGACCACCTGTGAGCAAAGGCCTGTTTCCTGCATTTAACCAGGTGCTGTAGGTCTGAATTCTCCTGTCAGTTGATTTCCACCCTTCACCAGGTCACCAATGGTCTGGCTCATGGTGCAGGAAAAGAAAGTTGGAAGACAAGGGGACTGGAGTTCAGTAAGCTACAGGAAGTGTGTCCTCCATCAGCAGATATTACCGCGAATATCAGAGAGTGTGCTGGGTTCTGGGTGTGCTGGGTTCTGGCAGGGTACCTTTCTTGGGGGCGGTCAGCCTGTTTTATTCTGGGTGTTGGGGAAGGGCTTGGAGAAGGCTTCTTTAGGAACAGGGCTTTTAGTAAAGCTGAACTCAATTGGTTAATGAAGCTACCAAGGCTGTTCCTAACAACAGCATCCAAATTATGCCTCTGTGGCCACAGCTGCCTTGGGGTGGGGGAGAGAAGTGGCATGTAAGGGGGGGGGCACTGGATATATAGAAATCGTTACCATTTATTGAGCACTTGCTGAGAGCCAGGCTCCCTGGGAAACGTTTACTTCATTATCTTATTTATTAAGATGCATAGTGTTTTTTGTTTGTTTGTTTGTTTGTTTTTGAAGGGCTCATCACATTTGGGAACAACCTAGGGGCGGAGAGGATTCAACCGGGGAAGGTCTTGGTACCAGATGCTCCCTGGTAGTGCAGGTCACCAGGAGAAGAAACACCTTGCCCCCTCAGGCACTGATCTCCCTGCTCCTTCAAGTTCCCCACCAACCCAGTGACCAGGGCAAACTGACCAGACTCTAGGGCTGGCTGAACCCCAGGTGGCTTTGCTTAGGGGGGATTGCTCCCTGAGCACTGTTCTGTGTGCCTTATCTTTCTGCCATTTTGCTTTATCCTCACCACAATCCTTGAGGGAGGATAATATTTTACAGACGAGGATACAAGGGCACAGAGGAGATGAGGACAATTTACACAGCTAGAAACTGGCAGAGCTGAGTTCTACTCATGTTCAATCTGACTGTCAGCTGCTACAGAAACCTGCTGAATTCCAGTTCACTCTACATGGCCCCACCCTTGGGCTTCACAGATGGGTGACTGGGCACATTGAGAGTCTTTGGCAGGGTCGAGAGGGTCTGAAGAATGGTGGAAGGCTTTCAATTATCCTGTAAAACTGATCTAAAAAATCAAACAAGAACAGAAAATACAATCTAGATTGTCGAATGCATAAACCAGCTAGCTCTTTGACAGAATACCAGGGACTGGATGGCTTAAACAATCACAATTCATCTTCTCACAGTCCTGCAGGCAGTAAGTCCAAGATCAAGGTGCCCACAGAGTTGGTTTCTGGTGAGGTTTCTGTCCTTGGCTTACAGACACAATCTCTCCTGTGTCCTTGTGTGAACTTTTCTCCTTGCATACCCATCCCTGGTATCTTTTGTGTCCAAATTTCCTCTTTCTATAAGGACACCAGTCAGATTGAATTGGGGTCCAATCCTTGTGACTTTATGTAACCATAATTGTCTGCCTAAAGGTTCCATCTCCAAAGTCACATTAGAGGTTATATGAAAGACACAATTCAGTTCATAACATAGATTCTTCAAAACTCTCTGTCCCACCCACAGGAGACCCCACAGCAATGGACACAGTGAGCTACAATTAGGTGCTAGCCCCTCTCTGGAAGGCTTGGAAGCCACTTCAATGCAGCTCCACAGAGAGTTCAATAAAGGCTTTCTCTAGAACACCACTGCAGACTCCTGCAGCTCCGAACAACCCAACATTTGCATGTAATTTTCACTTCAGCTAAAGCTTTTAAATTTAAAACCTCAGTGACTGAAGTCACAACCCCCTATCTGATAGTTTCTTTCAATGTTAAAAGTGATTTTTAAAAAGAGTCCTCAAAGCTGTCTAAGGTTCCAGAGAACTCTGTTCTTTCCATACACAAAACCAATGCCTCTGATCCCATTGCCATCCCTGGAATAGAAACTGCACATGCCTTGGTAAACCAGGAAGAGAAGGAGAAGGAGGAGGACAAGGAAGGGGAAGAGATCAAGGAAGGAGGAAGGGGAGGAGCAGAAGCTATGGCCACCTTGATTTGTAGAGTTTACCAATCCCTATGGTAATAGATTTTAAGCTGTGTGGTTTAAAAATGGTTCACAGGCCTCTGAACATTTTCACTTGGCTTACAAGCTATTATGAGTGTTCCACTACACCCCTATTTGCCTCTCTCATGTTCTCAGAAACCCAATTTGTTGATTTTAATCTGGTTCAGGTACAGCCTGGGATCTTGATCAAAATGAGGCTGATGCCCTTTCAGGATTCAATTTCACAATTTTATTTCCATTCTCATCATGCTTTAACTCCACTAGCACTAGCCACAGATCTATGTTCATCTACTATATGCTCCTGGGTAAACCTTCTTAACTTAGAAGAGTCATCCAACTGCTGAAGGTCAGAGTCGGCCCTCTACCATAAGATTTCTCATGGGTCCTTGGTCTGTGTGGGAAAAGTCAAGAGCAAGTTGGGGTCCGATTGATGACAGGTGTAAACATAACCCAAGTAGTGGTGCTCTGTCCCTTTATTTTTTATTCAACAAAATCTGTGGGGGCCTCAACAGGTGCTTCCTGATGATTCCAGGTGGTTAAGGTGGTGATCAAGGTCCCCTTGGATCCTGAGAGACCATCTGCACTCCGTGTGTGTGATATGTCCACCTCAGAGGCAGAACTGAGAAGACCCATGGGTCAGGTCATATAATTCCAAGCTAATGACCAGGATGTGGCACACCAAGGGAAAACATGATCTGAGAGCTCACCTTAGAGAAAACTGGCCTTAGAAATAACATAATCCAGAGTAAATCAAATTAAAGTGGGAATTGCACCCTGGAACTTGACTTTTCTAGAGCAAATGGCATAGCAAGGGAAGGGCCACACAGAATTAGAATGGTCCCCCCACCTCCTTCCCTGATTGGTTCTGCTCCTCCATCTGGCCAGGCTTGGTAGGGAAGAAAGATATGGTGGGCATCAGGAGGAGGGAGGGTCCCTCATCCGTTCTTTCTCTCCCTTCCTCTGAAGTCCACTCTCCAGATTATTCCTGAGTCCCAGGTGAGTCAGACAAAGTGGTTATGATAATACTAATAAGCTGATTTAAGAGAAGAGCTGGGCTTGCTGAACCTTCAGGAAAGGCCTCTCTGCTGGCTTTGGTTGGTAGGATAACAAGCCTCCATGGGGCTCACAGATCCTAACCCTCTCCACCGCTGTAGTCTTATTTCATATGCTGAAGGTGTCGATAATCTCTCCCTTAAGTGGACTCTGCCTTTCCTCTGGCAATAAAAAGGTTCAATTGTAAATGGCATCCTTGGCGTCTCCTCTCCCTTTAGGGCTCCTCTGAGATCAGGGGAGGGTGAGCACAGAGGATTCCACACAGTCCCTCATGCTTGGGGTCCCTGGCCAGTGTTCTCCATAATATTTGATGATCTGAAACAACAACACTCCCATGCGCTCTTTACTCAGGGCTGTTTCTAGGAATACAGGAAATCAAAATAATTATAATTGAGCATCTACTGCATGCCAAATCCTGTGCTAGGTATCTTGTATTTACAAACCTAATAAAAAAATATTGTGAGATAGAAGTCATGCCTACCATTTCAGAGATAAAGAAACTAAGGGTCAGAATGTTAACAGATTTGCCCGTGGTCAGTAAGTATTAAGCTTCCAGTCTTGATCTTTTTAACACTAAAGCTCACTTTAAAAAAAAAAAAAAGTCATTATGTTATAGAAAATATGTCAGTCAGCACAAAACCAGCTTGTACTGCAGTTACAAGTGGCCCCAGAATCCCAGTGGCCTAGAACAATGATGTTTAGCTTCACTCTCTGTGTGCTACATGATTCACATGCAGTACAACTAGCCTGGGGACTCTGCTCCATACCATCCCAGGACTCGGGCTGATGATGGAAGAGACGCCAGACTGATGCAGTTCTCATGCTGGAGACTTAGGGGAGCTCTAGTGGGTCTAAAGTTAACAAAATGCTTGGGTGTTGGACTGACATGTTACTTCTACCCATAACTCAATGGCCAGGATTTTGCAGGACTCTTGCACACCGCAAAAGGGAGAAAACACAATCAGAACAGCTGAGGACACATTAAATGCTGGTGAACAGCATTAAAACCTGCCATGAGTGTCGGGGACAGGGCTTGGCACCATTTAAAATGTTCAATAAACACCGTGTCATGCTCCCTTCCCTTCCTCAATGGTGAACAGCCATGGTGGAATCTCTTTTTGGACCAAAGACAAGCCCTTCGTAATGTGCTCTGTTGAACACTTTCCTGCTTCTCTGGCTGACTACTGGATCATGGGATGCTGGTAACTGTCCACATCTGGATCAGATTGTTCCAGAGCCTGAGTCTCCAGTGACTTCATGTCCAACCATTCATCAGAGGTCTCCATCAGCTGTCTTGCAGGTGTAGTAGGTGATAGACATTCACAGACACAGCACATGACATCCTCCTGTCAGCATCCAATAGGCTGGGGACAACAGGTACTCCCTAACCTATTGTCCCTGGTTTGCTAGCTATAATTTCACTCCTTCTTCTTCAATACAGGGAGGCATATCAGAATGCAAACGACTGGCAGGGGTGTTCCTAGAGAGACAGACTAGGTCTATTTTAATTGATAAAAAAGTCATCAATCACTTGAAAACCTCAACAGCTTATTATGAGTAGCCAATTGCCTATGACACACCTCAGCACTGATTCAGGCATGCTGCACATCAGGACATCGCGAGGAGGAACCACTGGTCAAGAAGATCCCAGTGCACTCAGTTGTGAAATGAAAAATGGTGCCAATTAATTGGTTGTTTTATGTATCCCGGGCCAAAAAATTGATTGGAGAGAACATCTCGTCCCCACTAACTCCACTGGCTAGTGGTCTTGGCATTGTGTAGACATAGCCTGAGTATTAAGAATGTGAGTCTAGTGTCAAACGGTCAGATCACACAATGTTAGACTGGAAGGAACCTCCAGAGATGCTTCTCATACATTCCCTTCATGTCACAGGTGAGGAAACTAAGGAACAGTCAGGTTAAAAGATTTGCTTTAGGACACGCGGCACAATCGTTAACTATTGTTTTAGAAAGGAGGTCAACGCGGGCACATCTTCACCCACAGCATTTTTAACATTTTCTGTAGCTATTTCAGAATCCAGATGCCCACTGAATGCCATTGCATACTTTCTAAAAGTAGACAAGAATTTGAGAAACACCCCGTGGTGCAATTGTTCATTGCTTAAACTTGCTGCTGACTCATTTGCCCTTCACCACTTCTTTACCAACATCAGTGGTGGCATCCGTACTTGTACTTACTGGCTGTTTTCTCTAGCTTGTTCTATCCACCCTGGCTGAGCTGGGAAACAGGATATAGTGACGTCACCTCTGCACGTCCTCATTGGCTGGTGGGCGGGGTTCCACTGTGAGGTCCTGATGGGATGCGCTGGGCCTATGGGTAAGCCTCTGGTCCTCCAGGCTGAGTAAGCCACCTGTTGTCCAGAGGGCAGGCTGTTCAAAGCAGACAGAAATCTGTTGAGCAAGGTCATTGAGGTTTTCAGGTTTTATCTTTTTGATAAAGAACAAATGTCCCCTCCAAACAAATTCTTGTGGACCACACTTAAGGTGTTAGGTGGGTGGGTGGGGGCTCCTCGGATCAAGACCCTCCACACACCTACCTAGCTGTGAATTGTACAAAGTGAGTTTGCAGTCACTTCAGGTCCCTGCCTCTTGAAATGCCTTTTTTTGGAGACAAGCAGTTTGGTGGTGGTCCCTTTAATCATCCCTCACCCCCACCCTCTTCTCAAGTCAATTTCAGAGGTTCTGAAGGCTCCCTGATTTAGGGCCTGTGGGAAGACTAGTTCTGTCTGGCCCTGGGGCTGAGGCACAGGGTCAGTGGCCAAGATCTAGGCTTTCCACTGTCACTGCCCAGTCTAGGATTTTGGCAGCTCTCCTATCCCCACAGGCCCAGATGCAGCAGCAGCCTTTGGCATGGACAGAGAACACTTAGGCTGAGGGCCAAAAGTCAGCCCTTTACCCCAGATGAACACATGGAGTGCCCCTTCCCCACACAACACACCTCTCTCCCTATCCCCTGGGCTTACATGGCTTAGAGAAGTGGTAGGGAAGCAGGTAAGATGGAACCATAGGGTGACTTCTTGGGATGACTCTCCCTCTGACCCACAACAAATTAAGAGGGATATCCACCTCTTTTCTGGGGTTGATGCATTGTTGAGAAGACATTAAGGTCTGGCTCTTCCCAGTTTCTTTTCCTTCTTGCCTTTGATACAAAGCTACTAAAATGACACACACATACTCCACCCCATAATATTCAGGCCAGTTGTCCCTTCTTGCTGTTAGGTTCAGATTCCGGAAAATCCTAGTGGGAGAATTCATGACAGAAGAATTTAAGACTTTAAGGGAGGGCTGGGGATATAGCTCAGTTGGTAGAGTGCTTGCCTCGCATGCACAAGGCCCTGGCTTCAATTCCCAGCCCCACAAAAAAAAAAAAAAAGACTTTAAGGGAAAATAGAAACAGGTGAACAAAAGCCAGGAATAATATAATCCTTATATTTGATTTTGCATTCAGGAAATAAAACTGTCCAAGAGCATACTGAATAAATAGCATTTTAGGAGGTATCATGTGGCACTGGTAGAAGTGGGTACTGGTTTAGAAATGCTAGTGAGCAAATTGGACACATGTCAATAACGAGGAATGTACTATCCCTATGGCCCAATAACCCACTTATGTGTGTGGGGTCTTCTCTGGGGAAACATGTACAAGGTTGTTCACTATAGAATCATTTGAGATTGACAACTCATAAATGACTTTATCCTCATCCATTTTTTGTTGCTATTTTTAAAAAATGCCTTGGCTGGGCACTGTGGCTCATGCCTGTAATCTCAGTTCCTCAGGAAGTTGAGGCAGGAGGATTGAATGTCCAAGGCCAGCCTGAGCAACTTAGCAAGAGCCTGTCTCAAAATAAAAAAATAAAAAAGCCTGGAGATGTAGCTCAGTGGTAGAGCACACCTGGGTCTAATCCCCAGTGATGATGATGATGATGATGATGATGATGATGATGATGATGATATACCAGGACTGGTACAAAGAATAGAGGTTTGTTTAGCTCACAGTTCTGCTTGGCACCTGGTGAGGGTCTTCTTGCTGCATCATAACATGCAGAGTGCAACACATGGTGAAACAGAGAAAGCTAGCCAGAGAGTTCACCTTATAACAAAGCCATTCCTGTGATAACCCATAAATCCATGGGTTTAAATCCATTCATAGGGCAGAGTCCTTTGACCTAATCACCTCTTAAAGGGCCCACCTCCCAACATCACCACAATAGCCATTAAATTTCAACCTGAGTTTCAGGGAGGACAAACCATAGCAAAATTAAATGTCCATCATTGGGTGAGTGGATGAATTGTGGTTCCCTTTAAACAGTCTGTTATTTAGGTGTCACAATGAATGTGCTAGAATTCTACCAGCAACATGGATAGAGCATGGAAACACAAGGTTAGATAAAAATAAGCAAGTTCCAGAATGATAGGGTCAGTGTGACACCACTTATGTAAATTAAAAAGCACTCAAAGAATTGCTAGGTATAATTATGAGAAATTGGGTTGGAACACATGTATGAGAAAAATACTCACCAATTTGAGGATAGTTGCTGCATATTTACAGAGAAGAAAGGGGACACAATGGGAATTTTTAACTGTATCTTCAAGTCTTATTTCTTTAAAAAATCTGACATAAGTGAGACAAAATGTTAGCTTTTGCCATCTCTTTTTTGGTGGGGACAAGATTATTGTCATATTTCTCCTTGTATTTTGCTATATGTTTAAGTATTTCAAAATTGGAAAAGGGAAAGAAAATCCCAGTGGCATTTTGCACACATTTGCATGAATAATAATGGGTAAGGTACTGTGACTTCCCATTTTCACGTTTTCTAGGAAAGAAACAGGATATCCTTTCTCTGTATCTCCAATGCAATGCTTTTAATGTGTTTTTCTTTGTAGCAGAAATATGCATCCAAAGGGTTATTTTTTTTCTGCCAATTATTCCATGCCCTTTGGATCCTGTGACACTCTCTCCTTCATCTGGATACGTGGGAAAATGAGAACAAGGTGAAGTATCCTGATCCAATCTACTCTGCAGCAGTTGGAGGTTCACCTTTCCATTGACAACCCATAGGTTCCTTTTTTCTCATGATCCCACCAGAGCTGACCTATGGGAATGGTAGTTCTCATATTTGATTATGCATCAGAATCACCTGGAAATATTATTAAAATGCAGGCTGCTGGACTCCACCTTCAGAATTTCTGATTCAGTAGGTCTGAATGGGGCCCAGCAGAATGCAGAAAGCAGTTTAACGGGGCTCTCTGAAAAGAAAAACAAGCACTGATTTGAAGTGTTTGCCAATTTCCACAGTGTAAATACTGCCACCGTGGCTGATGTCAAGCCCCCCCCCAATGTGACTGTCACTAAATGTGGCATTGGGGAGGGAGTGTGCACAATCGGTTCTCCCAAGGGAATGCAAGCCATTTCCTGCCCTCCCTGGGCACGGAGACTTGAATTTTTGTGTTTCTAATAAGATTTCAGGTACTGCTGGGTTATAGATCTCTCACAGTGGTTCACACTTCAAAACCCACTGCTCTAGAAGGCAGAGCACAATAGTGTGGGATTTGGGAAGAGATCCTTGGATTGTGTAAATAACTCTGCAAACTTGACCTTAAAAATCCCATTTTCTTAAAAGAAATCCAGGGCCAGGTGCAGTGGTACATGCCTGTAATCCCCAGAAACTCAGGAGGCTGAGGAAGGAGGTTTATAAGTTCAAGACCAGCTTAGACAATTTAGTGAAAAAGGGGTTGAGCATGTAGCTCAGTGGTACAGCAGTCTTGGGTTCAATCACAGTACTGTAAAGAATAAGTAAGTAAATAGAAGGGAAAAAGAAAAGAAAAAAGATCCCGGAAGCAGATTTCCTGCTCTAAAGAGCAAGAGACATATGCCATGGGGCTAGGCCCAGACTACCCTATAGATGAAACAAGCCCAGATTCTATCCCAAGCTGGTGCACTGGCCTGGGGGTTCTGCCCCTAACCCAACTACCTTCTGACCATAGCAATCCAAACGGCACAAGCCAACAGATGGGTGCACCCTAATCTCTAGAGGCTCTGGAAGGGAGAAACCATGTCTGAGAATGCTTCTAGCCAAATAAGTCTAGGCCCTCAGAAAGAAGGAAAAGGAAGGAAATGGGAAATGAGAATGAGAGATGGAAAAGATAGACGTGGAGGTGGAAGGAGGAATCCAGAACAGAGATGCTAATGTGGAGTCATCAACTGCCAGGGATTTGGGGTATACCCCAGATTAGGCAGAAATGAAAGCACAAAATGCAGTTATCCATTCCCCTTCAGCTGACATGCCAGCTTCATGCCAGGGGTTCTTTGATTTTTCACTTCCTACTGTCACTTCCCCCAGGCCCACACTGGGCCAGGCCACCTCTGGGATGAACAAAGAAGCCCTGCAGGCATCCCATGGATAGGTGGGATGAACTCCTGGAGCCCTGCCCCAGGCTGTTGGTTTGCAGGATCACACTTCATTAGGATTATGTGTTGCAGTGGCTCCAGGAGCATTTGGCACCTCTAGTCCAGCTGGACTTTCGGGAAGCCACAGCTCTTCACTGCTGGCAATTTCTTTGACTCCTTCCTCCTAGAGCTCAGGATTCCATCTCAGCCTGCCTCCCCCAGGTGCCAGGCCTCCCGATGCCCTCTGTGGCTCCTACCCTCAAGGACAGTGGCTGGGGCCCCAGGCCTCACCTGCCTGTTTGGAGTAGGAGGGGGCGTGGAAGGGGAGGTGGTGGCTGACAGAACACAAGGGCTGGAAGGAGTCCAGCACATTTCTCTTGTTTTACAGATGCAGAAACTGAGGCCCAAAGAAGGACAGATGCAAGGCCACTCCATCAGCACGGGCCAGCCTGGATCAGATCCCAGCTCTTGGTCTCCTGGGAGAGCAGATGCATTGCCCAGGTGCTGCTGCTGTCTCCTTGAATTGGTGAGAGAGGGGAACATCAGGCGCCTGGAGAGACTTCCCTTTTTGCCTCGCTGCTTCCCTTTATTTCTTGACTTTCCTTCCCCTATTCTTTGCCACCTTCTTCCTCCCTCTCCAAGGCCCTGATGACCCACAGGCTGGGACAGCCCCTCCCAATCTAGGTCTGTGCCAGTAGGGCCCTCCCTGGCAGCTGTACACTCTCTGTCCTTACCTCTTGCTCCCAAGTTCCAAGGAACTGGCATGATGAACAGCTCCCTCCATCTTCTTCAAGTCTCTCCTCCTGTTTCCTGAGGACTGGTGGCCACCTTTCCCACAGTGCCCACAGTCCTGGAAACACCCATGGGGGCTCTCAGCACACCCCTGTCTGTTTAGGTAGGTAAGGTAAGGGGCAAACAGCCATGGCTGGTTTCAATTGAACAACTCATTGCCAAGCACACACACACACACACACACACAGCTGTGTACAGGGGGCCAAGCTAATCCCCTCCCCAGGGATGACAGCTGCTAGATCCAGAGTTGGGGGCTCTCTTTTCTATGGTAGGGGTCATTCATTGTCCTGACATCCTCTCATTATGAGGTCTCAAACCCCATAAGGCAGGCATTATTACCCCTGGTTTGTGGATGAAGACACTGAAGCACAGAGAGGATAAAGGACTTTCCTGAGGTCACACAGATAAGATAGGGAAGATCTGAGATTTGACTTCAGGCTCTTTGCATGAACACTGGAAACAGAAGCCTTTTTTGAATAATGCCTCCTAGTGGGAACAGATCCCCAAGGGTGACAGGGTTGCAACTTAAGATGCTCAAGTGAAAGGCTGAGGGTAGTCAGATGCCCAGAATGTGGCCCCTGAAACCCACTTTGAAAGGTGACCAGATGCAGGAGAGCAGTGGGCTGCAGGCATCCTTGCCGAGACCCAGCTTCCCTGTAGCATCTTTTCAAACCCATCACCTATCCCTCTCCCTTCTCTTCTCTTCTACCAGCTCTCAGGCCATCAGCCCTTCTGGACTGCTCTGCACAGAACTCAGCTCTGCTGGGAAAGATCCTTGGCATCCACAACAGCACAGGCAGGCTACACTTGCTGAGTGACCTTACACATAATGGAGGGTGTGGGGTGCACTACCCAATATGACCGCATGATGCCACCCTTGAGCTACATAGCCATTCCCACCTGCTTGCAGGGGGCAGGTGACCTAGCAAGATCTGCTTTGCAGGGGGTGAGATGGAAGGTCAAGACAGCATCAGGGGCAAGAGCTCCAGAGATCAAAGAAATGAGTCATCCCCACATTATCACCTGCTGTCATCCTCTCTTCTCCCACTGCTTGTCTCCAGGTTGGGGCTGTTTGCCTCACATACCTACAGTTATTGCTTCTGGCCCATAAACCCAGCCCTTTCTGAACCTCCACAGCAAACCCTCAGCCCCATTCAGGATCCCTCTGCACTCTGGAACTCAGTGTGGCACACTCCAATTCACATGTTGCCTTACAATGGTCTCCAGTGGCTTCTGCATGGGGAAGGAACTTTCCAGGTGCCTTATTTCTTGAGATCTGTGGCTCTATGAAAGGAGAGGCCTGACATTGTGCCTTACACCATGGGATGCATCCTCCAGGGCTGAAGGGGAGGGATCCAGACAAGCAGGGGCACTGGAGCCCAGCCTTCTCCTGATCAGAGAGCATCAAGGTGCTCAGCACCTCTCTCAGTAGTGGAGAATGAGATGGCTGCCTGCGTGGCCATCTCTGATCCACTGTGGCCTCACTGCAGCTGCAGAGACCATCCCCCATCCACCAGCATTATCAGAACAAAAGGAAACCCACAGATACCTGTAAATGTCATAACTCTTCAAATCTCTCTGTAGTATATAAGCCTCCTTCCCTCCTTTATCCCAACACAATTCACACCTAAAGGGGAAGTTTCCTTGGACCTTAACCTAACACTTACATATGACCCCTGCCCTCTACTCTGCCCTCTATCCCTTGAGGGCTTTCTGTAAGGATGGTGACTCAGACCTTCCCCAGGCCTGTCCCTTCTCTCATCTTCTCCAAAGCACACAATCCCTCCAACACACACACTAAAGGACTCTGTATCCGAGGAGAGCCTCAGTACCAATTCCACTTAACCTCAGCATCAAGGATTTTATCTGAAGGACTTGGGAGTGGTTCACAGGGTAAGGGGGCAGATACAAGTCCAGGCCAGGGAAGGACAGATGCAGTCTTTGCAGTGATCTAGAGAGCAGAAGCTCATAATCTTGTCTCACAGCTGCTAGGATCAATTGGCGCCAATCATTTCATTTCCAATCTTGTGTCCCTCTTCACAGGATTCCAATTCCCCAGGCTTTTTTTGGGTCCACTCAGTGGGCAAGGAGGACAGAACATTCTAAATGACAGGAGTGCCCACTGTGTGGGAGGGGTCCATCCCCAGAGATGCTCAGAGGTAGGTTGTGTGCAGAGAGATAGCAGAATGGGGGAGAGCCAGGCCACCAACATCCATCAAGCAGTTGTCCCTGCCCTTTAATGGGGCCATTCCTTTTTTTCTTACCTTGTAGTCACCCACTGCACACTGCCCACTAGGAAAAGATCAAGAGAGTGGCGTACCTCTGAGGCACAGAGAGCCTCAGCACTTGACCAGAGGTCACTCAGTAACTCAGGGACAGCTAGTTCCACTAGTTCTTGGGTTTGTTGTGTGACTCACCTGGAGCCCTCGGGGATCTCTCTTGTGGACAAGGCCTCCCGTAGATACTTTTTGGGGTAAGGGCTTCCTGACTACTGTTGAGAGGAACAGCAAGCCCAGACCGCAAAAAGATCCAAAGGAGACAGCATCTGGGCAGTGACAGGAGGGGAGGGTACGGCCCCCCAGGGCTCGGCTTATACTCACAGACCAGGTGAATGAGGCATAGCCAGGGCCTGGGGAGAGAAGGGAGAGAGATGAGGGTGAACCAGCAAGCAGGTGGGCATCAGGAATCCCAGCTGTAATCCTTCCTCCACCACTCAATGTCAACTTCATTCTTACCTGGCCAGTTAGTAAAGAGCAGAGCTGTGGCGCCCCCTAGCGTGGGGGCTGTTTGGTCTCCCTGAGTCCTCTTCATCTTTAGAGGATCTTATGGCCTCCTGTTGTGACTGGTGTTCGGTCAGTGGCCCAAGGGTCTTCAATGCCCTTGGTTCCACAGTGGCAGCATTGGACTTGGGATTGGTTCACAGGGTAAGGGGGACTCTCCAGAGCCTCAAAACACCAAGAATCCCAAGAAGACTCTGTCATTGGACGAAACTGCTGAGGAAGATATCTTTAAACTTGCAGGCATGGTCTGCTTTAGTGGACACCACTGCCAGGGTAAAGGCAGAGCTACAGGCCAGGCCCAGCTCAGTCTGAGTCAACCTCTCCTGTTGTTTTCAAGCAGCTGCTCTATAGAAGTGACAGCTAAGTCCCATAGGGGTCTGAAGCTCCCAGGAGGCATGGATGAGGTCAGCAAAGCTGCCTTGGAGTCCCCAAGCCAGTCAGGCAAGTCTTACCTGCTCTATCTGAAGGGCCCCTAGAGGCCACAGCCACTGGACACAGGGAGGCTCTTTCTAGAAGGATCATCACTGCTGGTTTGGAGAGTGGATGGTTTCTGCCTCTGGTCCACTGCTGAGCTCAGGATGGGTTGGTTGGTCTCTTGCCTTTCCTGAAAGGGTCAAGGAGGCATCTTAGACCAGCTCAAGAGGGTGGCCCTCTGTTTTCCCCAGATCACCAACAGCACAGAATCCCCAGTGGGCGTGGAGGGAAGGGAGGCTTCACTAGGAAGTCATGTTTGAGTCTTCCAGGGAGGATGGGAGGGGATTGGAGAAAGGGAGGAGGGGAGAAGATTGAAGTGAAGGCGGGAGGCGAAACCTACTGGGGGGAAGAAAGGCTGGTTTGTAGGCAGAGCAAGGAGAAGGAGAAGGTGGGGAAGAACCTTGGTGTTCAGGCAGCCGCAGGGCTGGTGTTTTCTCCGGCAGGCAATGAACAGTCTCGGGAGGTTTTTGATCAGGAAAAAAAAAAAAAATTGTGAAATTGACTGAAAGAGGGAGAGGCTGCTGTTAGAGGAGAAAATAGAAACTACAACAATTTTGATGAACGGTAATGGGGCGCGGGGCTGACCCAGAAGGATGGAAGGAGGAGACCGATGCAGGGAATTTATGAGACAGGAATGGATAAGGTACAGTTCATCTGAGAGGCGTGGAAAGGGGTCCGAGTGCTAAGGACAGAGGAGCAATCACGGGAAGAAAGTAAGTGGTTGGATTATATACCGCACGCAGTCCAGCCTAATCATGTGGAAGACCCACGACGTACAGGGTTCACTGTCAGCTCTCAAGGTGTAGAATTTGACAATGATAAGCGAAGGGCAAAAGAGACAGGGGGAGGCAAAAATTGAAGCTGGAGGAGGAAGGCAGGCGTGCAGGTCTGGGGGAATCGCTGTGCCATGCACATCTCCACTACGATGGGCTACCTGGCACTGTCCCAGCAGACAAAGTGATGGTCAGCGGGGCGGTGCAGATAGCTCGGCCTTGGAGGGAGGGACTAGGAGCCACGCCCACACCGGGGCCTGGAAAGGGCGTGGCTTCTGAGGTCGCAGGAACTTGACTCGTTGCTCTGAGTAAGACCATCAAATCCTACATCCCGGTGCTGCCAAGGGGTGGGCACTGCGCACAGGTCGAACCCCTGGCGTTCAGTCCCAGCTCTGCCCACTGCCTGGGTGACCTTGGGCGGTTCACTGTGTATTTCTCAAAAATGACCAACGTTGTACCCTCCCGGCTGCTCCTACCCCAAACCTACAGACCACAGCGGCACCTTCTGAGTCCTCTTCCACGTTTTCAACTTCTAATATGTCCCAAGGTCAAACTCCTAAATATCCTTCAAATCTACAGCCCGTCTCCTGCCAGTCCTTTGCTCTGCCCTGTAGAAGACCTCCGTGACTTGTGGACCATAGTGGCCTCCTACTGGGCCTCTCCGCACCCACCCTTGCCCCTGCAATCCAGGACATTTTTTAAAAATGCAAATCTGCTTATGTTCCTCCACCTAAGAAATCCTTAAGTGGTTTCTTGCCACTCTTAAAAATGAAGTCGTGTTGATCACCTGCCTTTCCCCCCAGGCTTCTCCTGTGTCAATCTTTCCCTCTCTCCTGATGCTCCAGCCTCATTGGCATTCTTCCAGCTCCTTGAACACTCTGAGCTTGCCTGGAGGCCTTTGCCCTTGCTGTCCCCTCTGCCAGGAACACCGTCCCTCCCACTCTACGTAGGTAACTGGAACAGCCTGCAGCAGGGAGCCTAATTACCACTCCCACTAAGAGACCTTCCCAGAGCACCCAAATTAAATCCTCTCCGTTAGTCCCTCGCAGAGCACTTAATCTCCTTTTACACATATTTATGTATTGCTGTGATTTCTTTGTCTTTTGTTTAATGTCTGTCTGTCCCACTGGACTGTAAATCCCCGAAGACTTCTAGTCTTGTCTGTCTTGTTAGCTGCTGTATACCTTAGTGTTGATGGAATGAAGGAAGGGAGGAATTAAACACGAGGGGGAATGGCATGAAGGGAGGGAGGGAGGAAGGGAGGAAGGGAGGGAGGGAGATAGATGGAGACCATCTCTGGATTCAATTCTAAGATTCAGTTTGGCAGAAGGAGGGTGATTGATCCTTGTCTCCAGGATAAACAGTTTATCCTTCACAACCAGGGGACAGAGGTAGAGCAGGAGAACAGGCCCCATGGTCTAATCTGGGTGCTCTCTGTCCACTGCTTCCTGGTTGTGCTGTGGGGTCGGAAGAGAGATCAGGCAGAGCGAGGCTGAGAAATGTGACTGAGAGAGGTAAGATAAATAAAGTCATTGTGAGTACAGGTCACTGGCCTTCTGACAGGTCCAAGAAGGAAAGGGAGCCAGACCTTGTGACCTAGGCCAAGTGGGCAGAGCTGTGTCCAGGCTAGGCCTCATCACAACTCCTGTTCCGGGCCTGGGTCTTGCTCTAAGAGCCATGCTGCTGCTACTCACAAGGATTGATTCTCACCACTCACAAGTGCCAGTGGGTTTTTCAGGCTGCAATCAGCTGCCCAGACCTCTAAAAGCCATGTGTTCCTGTTGTAATTGTTACCACCTCAAATGACCCTCCCTACCCAGAAAGCTCTGGGAGATGGGCGCTGCAAATGCGCACCAGAGCTATTTCTTTGTGCTATGATTTGGAGGTGGTTTGTCCCTGCCAAAACTCTTGTTGAAATTCAGTTGCCAATGGAGCTGTGATGGGAGGTAGGGCCTCTAAGAAGGATTAAAGTCTTTCTCTTGAGACTGAATTAGGTCTCTTGAAAATGGATTAGTTCTCTGAGAGCTAAAGGGGGTCAGCTTCTCTGTTCCTCCCTGTTTTCTGCACATGCCTACTTTCTCTTTCCACCATGCATGGAATGGCACATGTCCGTCACCAGAAGGCTAGAAGATGCTGGAACCATACTCTTGGACTTCCAGAACTCTGAGCCAAACTAAACCTCTTTTCTTTGTAAATTACTCAGACTCGAGTATTCTGTTTTAGCAACAGAAACAGATTAAGACATTATATAATTGAACTCCCGTTAAACAGTGGAAAGTTTTATAATGCAATTTTATCACCTGGTATATGACTTATACATCTTTCTTTACTTTAGCTCCATATTTCTTGATTTGTCACCTGCTTGGCAACAAGTTAACCCTTATAATTTTCTCCATTATCTTCCTCAGTTCATGTTAAAATAGAAATACTTCTTACTTATGTGTTACTAATTTATAGGCCAGTATTTATATTCTTTTTATCAGCTCTATAATAATATTTTCCAGATCTATTATAAGTTCTTATTGTCTTCATGGTTTCATTAGCCATAAAATGAAACTAAATAGAGTAACAGTTGTTCAATTTAACAACTGAATCTTATTCAGGAAATAATTTAGATAAAAATAACTACTGTATACTCAGAATGGTGAATGAAGTGAGATATTGCCATTTATAGAATTCCATCCTATTAATAACTGCATAGTTTCCTGGTTTTCTTTCTTATGCTAATGTAAATCCAACCTCCCACTCCCACTCCACCCATCTGAACTTGCTATATTAGGCAATTTGGGCTGTGAGATGGAGGAGAGGATCAAAAGCTGAGAGCTGACACCCTTTACTGGGTTTCTCCAGGGGTCTGACCTTAAGGAAAAAGAACATTTCTCAAGGGTCAAATATTTATTTGTGCAGAGGGAGCTCTCTTCCTCATTTCAAGTGCAGATCAGGACTGATAGCATCTTTTTCTGAACTTGGAGGGACAGGAGGCAACATAAAATGGCATAGCTGGTAAGCATATTGCACCCTGCTGTGGCCCTGGGAGTTATGCTAATGGATCTTCCTGAAGGGGCCCTGAGAGATGTCCCTGGGGCTCAGAACTGCAGCCAATTAGCTGGGAGCTCTAGCAAGTGCAAAGAGCTGGTTGGAAGGAAGCTGAGGAGAGGAAAATGGGAGCAGAGGGTCAGGGCTGGTTTTCTAGCTCTGTCAGGGAAGTGGCCTGCTCAGTCTCCAGGCCTTGCCTATCACTCAGTGACCTCATCCCAGTCTGGTGAGAAGCCTTCTGGTTATCAACACAGCTTTTTGGACTGTGGTTCCTGACACAGTAGTAGACAGCTGCTGGACAAGAATGTGACAGGACTTAGAGAGCTACTGCTGACCCCCTTCTACCCACAGTCAAGGAATAACCTGCTTCCAGGTCTTCTC